ATTAAAAAAAAAAAAAAAACAGAACAAATCAGTGAAACTTCAAATTAATATAATATAATGTATATTAAATTTAATTTCATATATATATATATATATATATATATGTATGTATTAGTGTTGTCAAATTATTAATCGTAATTAATCGCATCCAAAATAAAAGTTTTTGTTTACATAATATATATGTGTACTGTGTATATTTATTACGTATATATGTTTATCAATTTGCACTTGCTACCAATAGCTGCTCGCATACAATTCAAGGCATTCATGTTTGCCTACAAAACCACCACTGGCTCTGCTCCCCTTTACCTAAATTAATTACTTCAGCCTTATGTGACTTTTTCATTAACTGTTCCCTCCTGGTGGAATGACCTGCTCAACTCAATCCGAGCAGCTGAGTCCTTATCCATCTTCAAGAAACGACTAAAAACACATCTGTTCCATCTTTATTTGACCTTCTAACTTTAACACTTTCTATTCTATTTTAATTATACTTTATCTATTTTCAAAGACAAATACACAATGAAATACACGATCAAACTGTCACAATACACAAATTGCAATGTATTACTTGCGCCTGTCTGTTTTCGCAACTGTCGGCATCGTATGACGTCATGCGCGTGCACGCGAGGGGAGTCAGATCCTGGCAGGGAGTCGGAATTCGGCACAACACCGGAACTGTTGACCCCAGGATGTTAAAATATAATTTATTCCTGTGAAGCAAAGCTGAATATTCAGCATCATTATTCCAGATTTTAGTGTCACATGATCCTTCAGAAATCATTCTAATATAAACTCATTCTGGTGACACATCTCATCCTATAGAATACCTGCAAAAAAGCACAAGTGTTTAATTCAATAATAAGCATTTAATATAGGGGGGTATGATTTTGGCAGCACTGCTGAATTCATATGGCATTCTATTGATATGCTCGATGTATAAGCACAAGGTCTTCACAGCTTTTCAGTGTTATCAGCATAAGGGCAGAGTAATTTAGACAGATTTAACAAAACTTTTGAAATTGTTCTGCTCCCTAACAAACACATTCTGTTTCATGATAAGGAATATTGCAATAGAGAAAATGAGCACTGTAGTAAAAACACACAAACGATAAAAGCACAGCTAAACAGTCCAAGTAGTAAATCATACAAGTTTAGTTAAATACATGATCAAAGACAAATACACAATGAAATACACGATCAAACTGTCACAATACACAAATTGCAATGTATTACTTGCGCCTGTCTGTTTTCGCAACTGTCGGCATCGTATGACGTCATGCGCGCGCATGCGAGGGGAGTCAGATCCCGGCAGGGAGTCGGAATTCGGCACAACACCGGAATGACAGCTCATTAACGATGCAGAGTTCCAGCAGTTACAGCATTCTCATTGGCTAGAATTAATCACGTGCTGAAGAGCTGACGCGCCATTTAATGTATTATTATTAAATATTACTTTTTACTTTTTTCCTTTCAGAAATATTTAATAAATTATTACATCACTATCCAATACCAGCAATAACAATGAATAAATTAACAAATCAGTCAATGATCTGTTTATTCACATGGTTTTATTTTGTCAAATAAATTAATTTTATTTAATAATAGCCTACAATGTATTACAACAAAAACAATGTATACTATTATAATTTATGTATATTACATAATTTAAATGCAGTGACAAAAAACACAAATTCATTATATATATATATATATATG